TTTAGTCAATATAGGGCTTATAGTTACTTGGAAATGACATCTGCTCCAAAAACTTTAACCTGGTCACTCATCCCAAAAATTTAGGTCAGATCCAGCATCCGAAGCAAGTTCAGTAGTGTGCATCCTTAGATGTATCACCCATGCAAGTTTGGTCAATATAGGGCTTATAGTTACTTGGAAATGAGACCTGCTCCAAAAACTTTAACCTGCTCCAAAAACATTAACCTGGTCATTCTTTAGCTGAATTTGCAGCATCTGAAACCTTGACTGGTACAATAAAAGACACTAGAAGCATCCTCCATGCATCTCTGACTAATATAGGCCATAGAAGTACTTGAAAAGAAAACTGCTCCAAAAACCTTAACCTGGGACGCCGAGGGTATTACATAAGCTCCCCCAACTTCGTTGAGGTGAGCTAAAAAGTAATAAATGCTGTTAAAATTGTCTTAAACTAAGTGACAAGCACTAGAGAAGTCTCATAACTCTATCATGGATACACTTTTTTCTCGTATTATCACTGGTGTTAGATAGGCTTGTCCAGTGTGAGACAGCTGTGTGAGATTTTTCTGTCTTACACTGTGTTTATCTTTCCTTACCTCAAATACATGTATTTCAAGTTAAACTGTTCTTAATATAGTTAGTTATACTCTGTCTTAATTGGACACTGTGTCTGGTGAAACACACTCTACAAATGAGGTTTAAGAATCCCAGAGTTTTTGTCATATAGCAAACTATTTTTTATATGAAAGAAAAAGTGAGCAAGTTCACATAAAACTCGACAATGCAACACGTAATGAATAGCACAGTGCATTTTAAATACACAGTATAATTCAACAAGAGGCCCACGGGCCTTATAGGTCACCTGAGTATCCTGCAACAACTTTCCAACAATTGAATTTAGTTCATGTTTTAAACCAGAGGCCATAAAAAATTCACAATTCTGAAAGAGGCACCATTACTAATCATAACTATACACTTAGCATGCTTACTTTGATTATTTAATACCCAGAGGCAGATCAGAGGAACAAAGAAAAATGCATTTCCACTTAAGGGTGCAACGATAAACCGTTTGACGGTATGTCGCGGTATATTTTTCCACGGTTCAATTCACGATACGTTAAACTGATATCGCGGTTCGGTTCAATCGGTCCAGAATTATCCGAATCGTCCGTTTTGTTTCCTTTTTAGCAATTTCAAAATGACTTCCGCGCAAAACGTGAGGTCGCCGATAACGCATTAACGTAAGTTAAACTCATCTCCAGCATCTTACAGACTTCAGATTTAAGACGGAGAAGGACTTAATGTGATTATAAGTTATAGATGTTAAGACAAATGATAAACCCTTTAGATCTAAACGTATTCTTCGGTAATACACGATATTCCATCACATGTGTATTTCGATGAAAATTCACTGTCTTGTTGACTAAAACGTGTTAACACGAGAAATATGAAAACTGGTTTTCTACGTAAATAAAAGCAATAAAAGAATGAATGTCTTCCTTCTTCATTCTAATTTAAAAGGAATATTATTAGGAAAGGTCCCCGTAGTTCCCTGTAAATGATCAACATTGGTTTAGAATATTGTCAAAACTCAAAGATCTACCTAACAATCCAATTCAAGTTAACAAAATTTTATTTTAATCATTATTAAAAAATATGAACATTTTATATAACCCTGTCAAGTTTTAAAAAATATGATGACAAACTTGAAAGACTTTTTAACCTTGTCATGTATCGTGATACGTATCGTATCATGAACTGAATACCGTGATACGTATCGTATCGTGAGGTTAGTGTATCATTGCACCCTTATTTCCACTATATAATCAGTAGTGTCCCACCCCACAGGAACCACTGACCCTGGGGCCACATATTTCACAATTTTCGAAAAGGCACCTTTGCTCATCATAAATAATTGATTAATACCAAACAACAGATTTCAAAGCATTATTTCATTTTCAGTATATGATCATTATAGCTCCCTCCCCCATGGTACCCTTGACCAAGGGGCTATAAAATTCATCATTTTGGAAGAGGCACCATTCCTTATTATAATTATGTATTTAGATCATCAGCATAATACCTAGGAGCAGAGGAGAAGATTTTCAAAGAATTAATGCATTTTCACTATATAATCATTAGAGCCCCACCTAACACCAGAACCCATGACCCAGGGGCCTTGAAATTCCCAATTCTTGATGAGGCACCCTTCTTCATCATAACTATGTACATAGTTTATCGGCTTAATACCCAGGAGCTGAGGAGAAGATTTTCAAAGAATTAATGCATATTCACTATATAATCATAAGATCCCTGCCCTTACACCAGAACCCCTGACCCAGGGGCCATGAAATTCACAGTTTTGGAAGAGGCACCATTCCTCATCACAACTATGTACATAGTTCATTGGTTTAATACCCAGGAGCAGAGGAGAAGATTTTTAAAGAATTAATGCATTTTCACTATATAATCATTAAACCCCCACCTTAACACCAGAACCCCTGACCCAGGGGGCCGAGAAATTCACAATTTTGGAAGAGGCACCCTTCCTCATCATAACTATGTACATAGTTTATCAGCTTAATATCCAGGAGCAGAGGAGAAGATTTTCAAAGACTTAATGAATTTTCACTATATAATCATTAGAGCCCCGCCCTAACACCAGAACCCCTGACCCAGGGGCCATGAAATTCACAATTCTTGAAGAGGCACCCTTCCTCATTATAACTATGTACATAGTTCATTGGTTTAATACCCAGGAGCAGAGGAGAAGATTTTTTAAGAAATAATACATTTTCACTATATATTCAACAGAGACCCGCCCTAGCACCAGAACCCCTGACCCTGGGGCCATGAATTTCACAATTTTGGTAGAGGGCTCATTGCTTATTACAATCATGCCAACAGTTTGACTGCTTGATGTCCAGGAGTAAAGAAGAAGATTTTTAAAGATTGCACTAATTTTAGTGGTTTTGGCCCCACCCCTCAGGCCCCAGGGGGGCAGGGACCATGAAATTCAAAAATTTTGTTTCTCTTCACCCATACATGCCGTATGCCAAAATTGGTTGAAATTGGTTGAGGGGTTTAAGAGAAGAAGCTGAAAATGTTGAAATGTTAACACACGATGGACGACGCACGGCGGACGAAAACAGATAGCAATAGGTCACCTGAGTAACTCAGGTGACCTAAAAAGGGGCATTACTTGCAAAAAATCATCACATCAAAACTTCTTGCATAAAAGGACATTCAAATCTTTGTATGTTACAAAATTAATTGGGCTGAAGTTTCTAGATAAATAATGGAATCAAAATTTCTTGGTAATATACAAATCTACACATTATGTCTGAAATACCTACAAAGTTTCAGGAAATTCAGTGCAGGAGTTATGCTGACAAACTGTTATTTAAATTCCTCAGTGATTTCGATTTGTTAATGAGTGTAAGTCCATGTCCAACACATGACAATTTACACATTTAAATAATTGATGGAAACAATATTATGATGTAGTCATATCAATGGGGGGGGGGGGGGGGGAACTATCAAAGATTGTGTGTGTGTGTTAAATCATTAATATTTTGATCTCAAAATCAATAGGGGTCTTTTAAGGTCATAAAATATTTCACATAAAATTTCATTACGAAAGCTGATTCCAGTGGATTTCCTTCTTACCTAGCTTGAAAGTTTTTCAATAATAGGCAAAACTCTTAAAGCAAAAATAATGGAATCAGAATTTCCTGGTAATATGCACATCTACACATTGTGTACTAAATATCTGCAAAGTTTGACCAAATTCTGTGCAGCGGTTTATGAGGAGTTGCGCTGACAAATTGTTCATCTCTATATTCAAGATATGGCCACAAATCTAAGTTGAAAAGTGCTGTAATTCCCAGAAAAAATAACGGAATCAGAATTTCCTGGTAATATGCACATCTGCACATTGTGTCCTATATAACTGCAAAGTTTGATGAAATTCTGTGCAGCAGTTTATGAGGAGTTGCGCTGACAAAAAAACAGGACTGATGGACTGACTGACTGACGGACGAGTCAAAAACATTATACCTAATGCAACTTGCTGCGTGGGATATAATTAACCGTTTCTATAATTATGAGAAGTATATTTTCATGCATAAAAATTGATCAAAAGCAACAAACTGAAACAAAATAAATTTTCAAAATTTCAGAGGTAACCATGTGGAGTTTTGAGGATGTATTTATATAGAGACAGAAAGGATTTTATTGACTTCTTATTAAAAAATGTAAATGCATAAGCAAAAATAAAAAACAACCTATTTTAAATTCAATGTATGTAAAGGGGGAGGGGTATGGTTAATTCATCTGGTCACAATCAGTGATGGCTGGGTGATGTTAGTAATATACTAAAAACTACACTGTAAATTGTTAGTACTGCTTGAACCTTCATATCAAACTACTCACTTCAAAATTTTAATGTTTCTGATTGGTTTTATCCTCTGTGTGAAGGGTGTGTCCTTAAGTTGATTGACAAGTCAAAAGTTGTACTATCAGAACCTGAGTAGTGGTTTGTAACAACATGAAATTTGCTGTTGCTGATGGAAGAGTTATGGTTCTTTGTCATATGCTGCTGAGTTAGTTATCTCCCTTGAGTAGCTGTACCTATTTTGTATCATTTTCTTCGTTTTGTTGCTAGATATTGATAAAAAAGTATGCAAAGGGAAAACTCTTAGCCATTAAAAAAAAATCACACTTCTATTAGTGAAAAATTGCATTCCTCCAAATACCTTTTAAGTCCTCAGTGACTCATAAAAAAGAATCTATGAATCTGTAAACTTTTGTAAGTTTAAAGCATTCTTCATATTGGTGTTAATTGCATGTGAAAAGCACCTAAAAGCCTGACTTCCAGATGATTGTATTCAGACATTGTATACTATATAACCTTATATAACTGCTGCAGTAATCATTGTTGGTATTTCTATAAAGCAAGAATAAATAATTTCTTAATGATTAACAAACCAAAGTCATACCTCTTTTCATTTATTTTTGATTTTCCACCATTCCTGGAAATATAGAGAAAAATTCAAAGGTTAAAGAAAATGAGTTGTCATTGAAAATTTCATATTTTATTGCAAAATATTGAGACAGATTTTACTATAGAGTAACCCCTGTTGTGTTTATTACACTTGCCTCTCTGTTTCCTTTGTGTCACCCTCTCCTCTGTCCATTCCTTGACCCTCCTCAGAATTTGTGCTCTTTGTGTCAGGTTCATGACCATTCTCAGCATCAATTGATCTCAAATTCTGCTCACTCTCATTGGCACCATCATTTTGCTGAGTCTCTGTAATGCTTTAGTTGACAAATGAAATTTCTGTGTTATTGCAAATCACATCATCACTACAGCACAACAGTCAATAAAGTGTTTCTATGTGAATCTTCCTCATTCATTTTATTATTTACTCATATTTAAAAAACAAGGATTGCTTTAATCAACCTTACCTCTCTTCTTGTGGCTTGTCTTTTACAGGAGACTTGGATTTTGACCTGAAATGATACAAAAAAGTATCCTTGTAATGTTTCTGGGTTCTGACCAATCAAATCATATGATTTTCTGTACATTATCTCTAGTTGGTTCGACCAATCAAATCACTGACTGTAGTATCTCTAGCTGGTTTGATTATTCAAACCATTTACTATACGGTACATTATGTGGCTGGCTTTGACCAACAAAATGATATACTGTTCAGAATCTTTGGCAGTTTCTGACTAATGAAATCAATTGTTGTACATTTTCTTTAGCTAATTTGACAAACAAATCATTCACTGTATATCATCTCTACTCAAAAGTGAAATAGGCTCAGGAACTCACAGGCACCTGAAAGGTTTCATACCATCGAAAAAAAGTACATGTACATGTAGTCCAAGTTTTTATTAACCAGAGTTTCCTGTCTTTTCACTCAACATAAGATTGACATACTCCTCTTTTCACAGACATCTGCATTATACATGTAACACACTGTGTATTTCTCAGGAATATATGAAAAGAGACAGTTGTTTTGGATGATATTCTTACCTTTTATTATCTTTGGTATACTTCTTCTCTCCTGCGGAATCTGAGGTCTCTTCTGTTGACTGGTCTTTATTTTTCTCCTTCGTGCTGGATCTGAATAATAACCAAGCCAGAGAATATTTAAAATTCTATCAAACTGTATATATATATCCTAAAAACAAATTGTGCTGATGTCTTTTCAAGAGTATCAAAAGGAAAATGTTTCACTGACCTTGACCTAGATTTTGACCTTGACCTCCCTTTTCTATTAGATCTGAAGAGAGAGAAAAAAATCTTACCTAAAGTTACAAATTACTTAATATTTAAAACACTGTTATATCATTTTATCTAATTATATACAAGTTAATTTTCTTATAAATCATAACCCTTAAAGTTACAAAAAAATTTGAAAGCATGTCACAGTACCTTCGATCTTTGCTTGCTGATCTTGATCTGTCCTTCTGTCTTGACCGTGAGCTAGATCTGTCCTTTTGTCTTGACCTTGACCTAGATCTACCTCTCTTTCTTGATCTTGACCTAGATCTGTCTCTTTTTCTTGATCTTGACCCAGATCTATCTCTTCTTCTTGACCTAGACCCAGATCTGTCTCGCTTTCTTGACCTTGACCCAGATCCGTCTCTTTTTCTTGACCTTGATCTGTCTCGTTTTCTTGATCTTGACCTAGATCTAAGGAAATCAAGAAATACAAAATTGAATCTTTTAAACATGATAAACACTGTCATATTTCTATTAATTTTAACAACTTTACATTTGGTATTCAATGAGAATGTTATCTGCTTTTTGTCTAAAGAGGAAGAAGATGAACATTTGCAGAAAGTATGTTTTTTGGGGTTTGATAGACAGGAATGAATCAACGTCTTTGAAAGTAAGATAAACATTATTAACGGGCTTCAATGTATCACCTTCCCCAGCTCAGGCTTTTTGCTATGCTGCCTACAAACCATTGGTAGATTATGCCAATAAAACTGTGGCTGATATTGCATTTGTTTGAAGCTAAACTCTTTAAAGCAATGAAAAAAACTGCTGTAATATCATGTCTTGTAAAAAAAAAAAAAAAAACAGACAAACATTCATATATACATGTATAAGCAATTGTGACTCTCTATTTTATTTCACATACACATTCTGTCCTTGTAAAATTCCATTTTTTGCTTACAATAGAGATACCTGATTGATAAGTTTGAAAGCTGCTGGAATCTAGAGTCAATATTCAGTGCATCCAGATGGTGTTACTAAAATTATATCAGCCAGAGTTTAAGAGGTGTAATCTGCAACAGGTTTATGGGTAGTTATAGCAGACCAAAAATTCTTGGCCTTAAAAGATGTAAGTGTACTTGATTTTTGCCAAAAAATATACCGGTACATGTATGTTCTTAATCCCAGTTTTCTAGGGCAGAGTTGTCCCTAAGATCCAGGGGCCGGGGAATTTCCCCGCCTATAATAACGTTATCCCCCGGCTACTCTAGTATCCCCCTCAACCCCTTGTTAGGGGAGGAATCCCAGACCCCCTTCTACTTTCTTAATGTCCCCTTCTATTTCAATTCTTATAGGGATAACCCTGTAGGGAATCAAAGTTTTCAGTTCTAAATATCTGCAAAGATGCAGTTAATATCCTTCTATCCCTATTAAATGATTTTCAAAACTAAAATTTGTTTACAATTCTAAGGAATTAAAACAAAGGAAACAGTTTGACAATTAGCCTATCACACCACACATAAAATGATACCTCCTGTCTTTCGATGTTGAACGTGTCTTTGAAGTTTTTCTTTTTGGTGATGGAGATCTTCGTTGCCTTGGAGATCGTGACCTTGAGTGAGATCTTTGATATGTTCTGGAAACACATTTCATTTAAATCTCATTTATAGGGAAATACAAAGCTGGTTATTTCATTGATAAATTAATCTCAGTCAACTAAAAATTTAAAATATTAAGATTTTATTTTAAAAGAAAACTGAAAATGAAATCAAAACTTGATGGAATTTCTAGTTGAAATGGTAGGTTTTTGTTACGTATTTCAAATAGTGTTATATTGAAGAATCAACAAAATAATAAAGACCACATGGGTTAGACATCAATATTATTAAGAGCAACATATATTTGTTTTTCCACAAGTGGCTTGAAGTCAATTTTTAAGCCTCTGCCTTGAAATGGTCGTGGCATACAGTGTTACCGCCTTTTCATCAATCATTCCATCATTCTGTCATATTGTCATATCCTTATGGTTAGTTTTCAAGACTTTTTTTGGCTATGCTTGTAGACAATGAGCTGATTTTTTGTGTGTCTCTTGAAATTAATGACTTACAGATCAAGTTTCCTATTAATGGACCCATTTTTACAAAAGTAATGCCCTCAGAATTTGAAAATTTCTAATAATTCACAGCTTTCTTCACTTTTTTTTGCTATGCTTGTAGATAAAATTGATATCTGGTATGTTTCTTGATAATGATTGATCCACACTTTTTTTTTTGCTATGCTTGTAGATAATGAGTTGATTTTTGGTATGTTTCAAGGTTTTGTTTTTTTGTTTTTTGGTTTTTTTGATATTTTCAAGTTCTCAGACTTTCATAAATTTGAAACTTGCATGTCAGTATGGGGGCATTTGTGTCACCCTGACACATCTAGTTCAAAATGTTTTATATATTTTCATTTAAATGGTAAGAAACTACACATTTGAGACCTCATATATCTATCAATTATTTAAAGATGTAAATCCATATTAAGACTAAATATTTATCTTGCAATTTTCAGGTAATTTTTAATGGTAATGCAAAAACTGTTTTGTTCCAGCGATTTCAAATAGCTGTAATCATTAGATTCATACTTAATGGTTAGTACTGGTATTACCAGTAAGCTCCTCTGCAGAACATTTTTGAGAACTAAATTTCCCTCAATCTGAGAAACTGATTTCTGTTCACTTGACCAGATCAATGAACACAGCTAGGTGAATTTTTTCTGAAGTAAAATCATTCAAGCAATCTTTTAAATTTATCAGATAAATCAACTGAAAAGTCCTTTATTTCTTAAAGTAACAGCTGATCCAACTTAGGGAAATGTTCAGTAAGAGATAAATAATGTCACGCCAAACCACGGCATTGTGTATGACTTCAGATCAACATACATCAAGGATAGTCTTAAATTATAGCAGCCTGTTATAATTCTCAATGTTACCCAATAAATCAATTCATCTCTACCATTTGTGTTTTATATACATATAGTGGTGGGTTATTGTGCTGTTAAATATCAATCTTTACCAGTTCTGTGACTGCTTGTAGTCTGTGTCAATCAGTCCTAACAATTTCCCTTCACATTAAAATAGAAACAAAATAATGAGCTTCATTATCTAGTCTACTGGTACAGGGACGTACTTTAGGAAAAAATGATAACTCCGATAGGACAAGGAAGTATGAGAGTGAATTGATTTTTATCAATTAATTTTATATATAATAAAATATCATAAGCTCTAAAACATGCCCTCACTTAAAACCTGTAATAGGGAAATTAATATTTTCATTAAAGTGAGTCCTTATTGCCTTATATTTGTAGCTGTGATTTTAAGAATAGAAGTGCTTTATTTTTTCAGAATAATACCATTTTATACCTGTGTCTAGATGAATGCTGATCAAACCTATTGGCTTTTTTCTCTTCATAAGGAATGGCATGTTCCACACGCACACGACGTCCACACACCATGCTTAAATAGTACATACATAAACATTTTAATTTATGAACAATAAATGACACATAACTTTTTAATTACTTGTTATTTAAAATTAACACAATTCAGTCACTATTTCTGTATTATTAAAGTGACAATGTTTACATAATGCATTGATTCCACATACTGTAGATCACCAAACATACACAACACCTTTGCAAGATAGTTATTTAGTATTTATATAAGATAAGACCTTTTTTTTTTTTTTTTTGAATTTTGGTTATATTGTTGGTATATATGTAATCTAAATTATTACAAATTTACTCCAGTATGAAAATTAGCTGGCAGGTGGTCTCGTGTAATTACATAAAGTAAAGTTCTTGTGAATAAAAAGTATAATTGGAATTCTCTACACCACCACTGAACCTGCATTTTAATTAACTTTTTTTTCGAGAGCTGAGATTTTAAGTCTCTCAGCTAGAATCACCAACTCTGGCTGAGAAGAATAAATATGCCCAAGTATTTTATCCCTTTCTAATTAATTGTATATGCAAAGTTACCATCCATATCACTTAAGCATGATGTATTATAGAAATCTTAAAAGCTTTTATAGATGATCTTTGTATAATGCTTCACGTATATTTACAAAGTGACTGGTATCAATTAAATTAGAGACTCTCTTTTACAGATCAGTAACCAAAGGGTCAAATCTTAGTCTAGTACACGATTGTTATACGCTTATAGATAACCCAGAAATCTTCTGGTATCTGTCTTACTAGAATACACCTGTCCTTCAAAGGTTTATCAGGTATCGCTTTACCTACACCAGGTAAAACATCACAGAACACTAATGTGTGGACATACGGCCGGTCCAGTGTGCGGGCTTTTATGATGATGCTAACAGAGTTATCTGCCTTGTTCCATTACCAGAACTTCCTATCCCCATTACTGGATGTTTTCCCTTCCTGGTACAACTGATATTTCTTCATCAATAAAATACTGACATGATAAACATGTCAACAAGCTCTGTTGTCTTGTTATATATACACACTGGCCATTCTAAACAGATTTCCCTTTGTTCGTGTATTCACTTAAAAACTTATTTCACATTATAAACTAAAGCAGCTTAACATGCAGTCTTACAAGTATTTATATAATGTTTATTCATTCATAAAACATGGTACAATTAACAAAGCATTTTATTTATGTTCTATTTACGTTATAAGCTATATTGCAGCAGCTTGCATCGACTCTAAGTTGTCTGTAGGGAATACCTAATCCCTTTATTGATTATTATCTGACAAAACTCTTGTTTATGTGACAGATTGACAATGTACCTCCGATTTTTTATAATACTTTCATAAGTTATCAACTTGACATCTTCTAAATACAATTCTGATCAATGGAGGAAATTAATTAGTAACATCTGTCCCTGTCTGTTTTTCCTTGTCATTTCTATCATTTTCCAAGTTAAACTGAAGCACACTCTTGTGTTTATTTACCAAGTATGTTTTCAGACTTTTACCCCATTTTAATATTTACAAATATTTTGTGAAATTCATTTTGTGTAAATCTCAGATCCTCGAGTCAATAATAATCTTCCAATATTTTGTACACTTTGATTCTGACCTACATTCTGACAAGTACAAGTATAGTTATATTTTACACAAGTTGTATCTGGCAACTGCAAATATCACTGAACACCTATAAGTAATGCTACCAAGCATTGAACCCCCCCCCCCCCCCTTTACTGTGAAAATGTTGGTGTTAATGTCATTTGAGTCTAAGTACATCACCGTCTACAGTAAAACTCATTTATAAGGAAGTCACTGGAAACTTGATTTTTATTTCCTTATAATTAAATTCTTTATATTCCTATAATTAGGAACACAGTGAAAAATCTTCTACAGGATTTGATAAAAAGTGCCTTATAACTGAGAGTTCTTTATAAACGAGTTCATAATAACCAAGCTTTACTGTAATCCAACTTCTACAGAAACAATTTTTCTATATAGCTACAGGACATTAGGACTTTCAAGTGCAATCACATCAGGCCAAAGGGCACTTGGGGCACTATACAGCATTTACTGATGGGAGATCTGCACTGACATCAAACTAACAGACCAACAGATGGACATTTGAATTTCTAGGAAAACTTGCTGACAAAAAACATATCAAATTTATAATAGGCACAGATTGACAGTGGGTATACACACAAGATTCTCTGTGTTCCCTCTGTGATATATTGTATCTAAAAAGGGAGAATCATTCTGTATACCGGTACACAATTAGCCTGAATCTTTACTATCTCTTGAAGTGATTTTTGGTTTTGTTTTTTTTTTGTTTTCGTTTTTTGTTATTAGTATAAATAAAGTCTACAAAGTTTGCACAATTAAAAGCTGTGTAAACATGACCGGTGCCAATGTTTCTGTTCCTGATTATACAGTAGGATGATTCTGTAGATAGGATTTTCATGTTTCTCTTTGTTTCTAAGCAGGTGTTTCATTTCCCTTACAGATTACAATAACTGAGGAACAAAACTTAGATAAGGTCAGACAGATACAACACTTAATACATACTTTCCGTGAAGTTTTCTCACTGCTCTCTCTGCATCGTCACCATACTTGTACACTAGAAATGCGAATCCTGGGGGATTCCTAAAGAAAATTAAAACATACCAAGTTTGACTTTCTTCCAATACTTGCAAATTTTTAAATCAGTTAGTTGCATACACATAAGATTCACGCACATAAATAACACTATCTAAGCAAATCGTTTAATTTACAAAGTAAAGCAGATTTACAAATATGATGCAGTAATTTTCAGTCAAGAATTAAACATTCTAAATTCATACTGAAAAGGGGGGTGTCTGAGTCAGATGTGAACTAAATGAAAGTTCATTGAACATATTGGCATTACTTGTGACATAATTAGATATTTCTAATGAACACCCATATCAAAAGACTCAAATACACCTCTTTTAGAGAATCATAGTAAAATGTGTAAACGATGCTACTGTTTGGAGAGAAGAGGGAAGAAAAATAATCGTGGAAGTGAGAACACGCACCTGGCTACCCACACGTCAAGGATGGGGCCAAAATACTGGAACTCCCGCTCAAGGTCATACTTGCCCACGCGGCTGCCGAGGTCCCCCACAAACACTCGGTATCCCCCTCTGCTCTTGTCCAGTATTGCCATTACGTTCTCTATATCGTCGTGCTCCTGTTTGATGGCGCCCTCTACGGTTCACGGAATATAGTCCCATATAGATAGGGGTTTTCCCACTACAGGTCTATACAAAAGTAAGACACGGAAACTACACGGAGACGGAGAGTATATGGCATGTGTGTAAAGAAAACAATATAAGATGCACAAAAACACCGTAAAATCTTTAAATTATAATTAATTGCATAAGTTATGGATAGTCAATGTGTTATGGATTTGTCAGTAACTTGTAAAAGATCATACATGGTTGACCATTACTACATCTACATCTAGTCACTAAGTCCATGTTTACTCTAGGCCTCCAGTTCCAGAAAAAAAAAACGATATTGTAAAATATTTTTTGAAACAAATGAACATTTTGTAATGCATTTCCACGCCCGTGGGAACTCGGGGGAGTGGGGATGCCCCCCCCCCCAACCCCCCCAATAATTTTGTATACTAAAACTATAGACATTCAAAATAAAGTGTTTTTTTTTTAAATCTCACCATGTGAACCAGAAAAAAATTGTAAATAGTGCTTATAATAAGGAAGAATAATTTGAAATCTCAGTCAATAAGTTGATTAAACGTTTGTAATCCTATATGGAGTGTGTGTTTGTGTATATCAGGAATGGGGTCGATTACTTTCAAAAGTAATCGATTTTATTACAATCACTTTAGATTTTAAAAGTAATCGATTACATATGATTACTTTTCCATCATGTACTCATGATTACTTGTGATTACTCTAGATTACAACAATTAAACCAAAAAGTTTTTTTAATGTTCGGGAAAGAAACAGAGTTTTTATTACAGGACAATATATTCAAAAATCATACTCATTGTACACATTTTTTATTATAATTTAAATTTTTAAAGTAGGGTTCGGACAAAGTTTGGTTACATGCTCGATATGATTTGTCTGACCATCTGATTTCTGTCACGTATGTACAAGTAAATATTCAGTAATTAAAAAAAAAACCAAGATGTGTTTGTGAAACACTGATGCCACCGTATGGCAACTTATAGCGATGGTTAAACTTTTTTCAAATGCAAATCAAATATGTTGGTATCCAAAGTAAGGTATTGTCCCGAGAAAAATATACCTGTGAAATATGAAAGCCCTAGCAGCAACCATTGAAAAGATATGGAAAAGGTTAAAAATTTTCAAAAGTAAGTCAAACATCAAGGTCAAGGACAAATGGTCAACATTAATGGTGCTCAAGGAAAGGCCTTCTCACAAGAAATACACAAGTGAAATATGAAAGCCCTAGCACCAACCGTTCAAAAGATATGGCCAAGGTTAAAGTTTACCAAAAGTAGGTAAAACTCCAAGGTCAAGGTCAAAGGGTCTAAGTTGTTGGTATCCAAAGGAAGGTTTTGTCACATGGATTACACATGTGAAGTATGAAAGCCCTAGCACCAACCGTTCAAAAGTTATGGCCAAGGTTAAATTTTTTCAAAAGTAGGACAAACTCCAAGGTCAAGGTCAGAAGGTCAAAGTTGTTGATATTCAAAAAAGGTCGTTTCACAAGGATTGCATATGTGAAGTATGAAAGCCTTAGCACCAATTATTCAAAAGTTATGGCCAAGGTTAAAGTTGGGTAAAATTTTGTAAAACTGTTCATGGTCAAACTCTAAGGTCAAGGTCAAAAGGTCAAATATGATGGTACCCAAAGAAAGGTCTTGTAACAAGGAATACACATGTGAAATATGAAAGCCATAGATTCAACCAATCAAAAGTTATGGGCAATGTTAAAGTTTTTGCGGACAAACAGATAAACAGACAAACAGACAGACAGACGGACGGACAGGGCAAAAACTATATACCCCCGAATCTTCGATACGGGGGCATAAAAATGCCACTAATTTTCCCATCCATTAGACATAATTATAAAAAGAGGTACAAGTATAAGGATTTGAAGAGAACTGTTATATATAGCTAGGTAACTGACCAATTAAACTATCAATTGTTACATTTTTATTTACTAAAATTAACACTTTGGACAAGCATTGTTAGTTATGCCCCCGATATCGAAGATTCGGGGGCATATAGTTTTTGCCCTGTCGGTCCGTCCGACTGTCTGTCTAGCTGTCTGTCCGTTAACCTTCGCCATGAGTTGCCATACGGGGGCATCGGTGTTTCACAAACACACCTTGTTTAGTTAATGTTTAATCATCTAAATGAAAGTTTACTCAACTGTCAACTTTATTTCGATACTATTTTATGACATACACTTTCAGCAACGGATCGAGAAGGATAGCAAATCATCTGACAAATAATCACAATGAAAACAGTTGCACTTCATTTTTAACGCAAATTATTTTTAGAATATTGGGGGTGGGAGTGGGGGCAGAGTGCCAGGAGCTTCTCTTGTTGAATCTGCCATCGATACGATTGAAAAGTGATCTTCCAATCAGACGAAGTGCCTTACATATAAAGGTATTATATAACCATAACTATCATATTATTAGAATGTCATGCCAAGAAAAAATAATTAAATAGAATACCAGTAATGATGAAACTATGAAAAGACATGCATGTATACCTCTGAAACTCGTCTTTCGAAAATCTGCATTGGTTGTTGGCCTACCTCCAAGTTTTCTTCATCGTAGCCCAATAGCACAACTTTTCTCCAAATCTCAAAGAATCCTGTTTACATTTTTAAAGAATATATTGCTTATTAAAGACGGAAGGAAGACCGAAGAAAGCATCTAACTTCTTGAGTTTAAAAATGGAGGACATTCACTCCCCTCCTTTTCCTCGAAGTCCACAATAAAGCTTTGGATTCCCTTCTATAATACCCCAAGAGATCCGAATTAAAGGGAGATTTTGTATCCCATCACAGGAAAAACAGTACATATATATACTATATCAATTTATCCTTGGAAAAATTTTCGCATGTGATTTGCAAAGAACATCATTTGGAGAGAAAAAACATGATGTACTTCAACACGTCTACAATTTTGAAGGTGGCATGAAGGTTTAATATTTTCATGCCCCCGTAATCGAAGATTTGGGGGCATATTGTTTTTGCCCTCTCCGTCCGTCTGTCTAGCTGTCTGTTTGTCCGCAAAATATTTAACCTTGCCCATAACATTTGATTGGTAGGAGCTATGGCTGTCATATTTCATATGTGTATTCCCTGTGACAAGACCTTTCGTTTGGTATCATCATATTTGACCTTTGGACCTTGACCTTGGAGTTTGACCCAGTTTTGGATAATTTTACCCAACATTAACCTTGACCATAACTTTTGAACAGTTGGTGCTAGGGCTTTCATACTTCACATGTGTAATCCTTGTAACAAGACCTTCCTCTGGATACCAAGAACTTTGAACCCTTGACCTTGGAGTTTGACTACTTTTGGAAAACTTTAACCTTGACCATTACTTTTGAACAGTTAGTGCTAGGATACGTAATCCTTGTGACGAAACCTTAATTTGGATAACAACAACTTTGACCTTGACCTTGTAGTTTGACCTACTTTTGAAAAACTTTGACCTTGGCCATAACTTTTGAATGGTGGTGCCAGGGCTTTCATATTTCACGTGTGTATTTCTTGTGAGAAGGCCTTTCCTTGGGCACCATTAATTTTGACCATTTGACCATGACCTTGATGTTTGACTCACTTTTGAAAAACCTTAATCTTTTCCATATCTTTTCAAAGGTTGCTGTTAGGGCTTACATATTTCACACATCTTGTTTTTGTTTGTTTTCTCTGTCTAATAAATATTCTTGCGGCCATGAAGACAATCGACATCTCATCTAACTTATTATTCCACCGTAATCAAAGATTCGGGGGCATATAGTTTCTGCTCTGTCCGTCCGTCTGTCTGTCTGTGTGTCTGTTTGTCCGCAAAAGCCTTAACCTTAATTGCCCATAACTTTTGACTCGTTGAAGCTATGGCTCTCATATTTCACATGAGTATTCCTTGTGATAAGACCTTTCTTTTTGTATCAACATATTTGACCTTTAGACCTTGGAATTTGACCTACTTTTGCAAAAGTTTACCACACATTAACCTTGACCATAATTTTTAGACAGTTGGTACTAAGGTTTTCATACTTCACAGGTTTATTCTTTGTGATAAGACCTTTTCTTGGGTACAAATATTTTTTTTATCTTTTGACCTTGACGATTGAGTTTGACGTACTTTTGAAAAACTTTAACCTTGGTAATATCTTTTGAACGATTGGTGCTAGGGCTTTCTTTTTTTCCATAAGTGTAACAAGACCTTCCTTCGAGTACAAACAATTTTGACTTTTGATTTGGACTTTGGAGTTTGATCTACTTTTGAAAAACTTTAAACTTGGCCATAACTTGGGAACGGTTGGTGTAAGGGCTTTCATACTTTACATATGTAATCCTTGTGACAAGACCTTCCTTCGGATACCAACAACCTTGACCTTGGAGTTTGACCTACTTTTGAAAAACTTTAACCTTGGTCACAACTTTTTAACGGTTAGTGTTAGGGCTTTCATACTTCACATATGTAATCTTGTGATAAGACCTTACTTTGGATACCAACAAATTTGATCCTTTGACCTTGGAGTTTGACCTACTTCTGAAAAACTTTAACCTTGGCCATTACTTTTGAATAATAATTAGTGTTAAAATACGAAAATAACTATCAATGTTTCATTTTATCTAATTTCTCAATTTAAATAAAATATTACAAAGTATAGATTTTGTACGGGTCAGATGCCTCCTTTTGGGGGGAGGGGGCTTTAAAAAAATCTGGCCCTTTTCGTTTTATTTTTGTTTCAATGATCCTTTCTTTCTGGTAAACAGAAATAGACGTATAATATAAATCCGTCAAAATTTATGAGTAGATATCAAAATCAAGGTACGTGTAAAGGTGTCTGAAATGAATACGGCAATAGCTTTAATGCTGTTCATCAACATCTACAATAACTGAAGAATTATTATAGCAGTAAAAATAAAGCAAGAGTAGTAAGTAATATTACTCAAAAATAGATAAAAACAGCTACCTTAAAATTTACCATCCCTTTCAGTATCCAATCTATATTTAATCATACGAAGCTGTGTTCCTTTCTTGGATCGAGCCGTCGCCAGGTTTCTTAGAAAGGGGGATGGGGTGTGTGTGGAAGGGGTATATACGTATACCCGCCTATCCTTGAGCCAGATTTTTTTTTAAATAAATGGATATTATTTTGGTGGTTTCTGATGCATTCTTAGTCATTTTTAACAGAATCTTGCAGAATTACTTTGAACAGTAAAATAATGAATTTATTTTGTTTGAAATGACAATTTCTGAGTGTTTTTGCACCCAACGCAACCCCGTTCCGAAGGCCTTGTTGATGTAAATATAATCAAGTAAGAAAACTATTTCTATTTTACTGGTCGAAAAGGCGTGAAGAGAGTCAGAAATCAAGAGAAATTCTTTGTAGATTCAATAAGTGCACATGACCTAAAAGTTGAATAAAAAGGAAGATATGGACTGGTAAAAAATAATACTGATCAGAAAATTCCTCTAGGTAAACACAAAAGAATATGTGAAGAGAAAAATGTTTTTTTTTCATGATCTATCAAAGTTCAACAAGAACTGTATCAATTTAACAAATAAGGATAAATTTATTTGGTTGACGATTAATGAAGAAGAACCAGTAATTATCGAACTGGGTTAATACCTAAGTTTTAAAAGTTTTAGAAAAAGAGTGCATAAATTTTTATTATTTATATGTTGGTATAACACATACTTTCGTATACCCTTTACTTGCAAATCATATATACATGTACCTGTTTCCCCATTTGTGACACATATGTAGTTAATGTTGTAATCTTTTCAAACTTTCTTCCTTTATAAACCGTCTTTGCTGTTGTGACATTTGGGCCAAAAATCGGAATAAACTTATAATTTTGAGGGGTAAAAACATCCAAGACTGTTATTTACCATATGAACAACCTGAGCAAAAGTTACAGCTCATAAATTCACCGACTCTTCGGATACTGGAGAATATGCTTTAATAATCCTAGTTTCTGCACGTGTTGTAGAAGCCATGTCTTTTCTGCTTCGGTAACTGTAGCTCTTCAAGCACAGATAAAAACTAAGACGGAACTCTATTGGAAACTCGATACATAAGCACTTACAATTGATGAACTTCTTTCCCTCTTCTCTTCAGCCCGCATCAACGAAAAGGAAGAGAGCAACGGTTAATTAAGAGTTGGAAAAACTATAAAATCTGAGCAAAGGGTGTATACAATGCAAAAAATGAACTGATCATTGCATGATGGCCATATTTGGTGTTATTTTTTATTTGAAACGTTATTTACCGAGATATTCCTTATGACTTTCCTGATCTGTTCTCCCCCTTTAAGACAGAATACATGTATCTCTTCTCTCAGGTCCCCCCCCTCTCCTTTCCCCCAAATTGCCATTTGCTATGGTAAATATGAGAAGGGTTCTGAATTACGAGACACCTATCAAGTATCAGATCGACTTACAGTAAATTTCAGCCTCCCTGCCAATGAGCTGGTTTGTAATCTAAGCACTCATTCCTTTCCTGTTTAAGTTCACTACTTGTCAATTATTTCCCAAAGGAGAACAGCTCATCTGCCGTGTCAGTTAATATGATAACTTATATATACAGGGATATAAAAACCTTCCTCCATTGTACACATTCATAATATATGTCTGCTACAAAAAGCATAATCTTGATACACAGAAAACACAGAGCATTCAGTTTTCTTTTTTTTTTTTTAGGTTAAAGATGATGCTTCACTGATTAAAGTACAAATATTCCTCAATTTACCTAACAACACCAAGACAGATGTTTATCAGGATAACATCAATGTTGTGTAGCTGGTGTATTGAAGTCTAATTATAGTTTGACAACTGATCTTCCGTCCCCAAAACACTACAGTGATTAAGATTGATGTACACGTTTATTAAGTGACAGTTATATTACAGTATATGATATGAGAAACAAGACAATAAGAAGGTGTGACCACCCTCACAATATCTCCCTCTCAACAGACCTCAATTTGCATAGAGCATGCAGCATCATCTTATACAGGCATCAACACAAGCACTAGGTATTATACTAAACACTAACGGGGATACACAATAGGTTATACATCATGTACCATACATGCAAAATTGTTAAAGCAACTGTCATTTGTTTATTAGCAATAGAGTATCTTTTGGTATAAATTATTTATACTCATGTTTGAGTTTCCATATATTGAACTCATTTTGTGTACCTTGCTCATGACAACTAACAGACTCAGGTGAAAGGCAAAAGACTCAGGTGAAAGGCAGTTGTTATTTTCATGGTAGAAAGAACTGGTTGTAATCTAAATACTTGCTCAGTGGCGCAAAGCAGTCATAAATCTTGCATACATTTCTGATGCAGATGCAGCAGTTGGAATTCTTGCAGAAATTTCCCAGAGTAAAAAGAAAAATTGTTTGCTTTAAAATATACACAAGTTTCAAAACTATAAACTAATATTTTAACATATGTGTAATTTTCCTACCAGGACTTTCCCCTGACCTGCAGTACTATGCAATTACTGTATTCTAATTTCACGAGATTAAGACCTATAGAAATGCACTCATTTGTGTATAAAGCCTACTACATGTAAAATCCATGTAGCTATTCAGTATATAAACAAAAAAATATTGAATTTTAGGGGAGGGGGGGGGGGGATCTGATTTCTTCTTTCTACAACTGTTTCCTCTTTTGACACCCATATATTTAAATGCACCAAAAAAAATAATAATTGCACTAAAACATCTCAAAATTAGCTGTCTATAAACAAACAAGATACAGAGGAAGAGGCACCAAAACTATTAAGTGTAAAGAGGTCAGCATGTTAGCATTAACCTTGAATGCTCCACACTTATTTACAAAGATATAAAAAGAGTATACAAAATACTAATGAAGCAATTGTAAATACAAGGCTATATTTTAAATACCAGTTAAAATTCTGGCTACATTCAAACTGAGACTAGGATAGCATAATGCATATCAGTGGATATACAGGTCTATCAGAACAGTTTATGCTAATTAAAGAATAAAGCATTGGCACTGGAGATATTTTAAGTGATGACTTTCAAACTTTTAGCTCTAATATCAAATATCAAATAAGTAATAAGTTAGTTAGTATGTGTCAATTAACTTCAATCACATGTTAAACTTTTCAGGTGGGCTTTTTCTGTGAGGCAAGACTACAGTAATCAAATTTCTTCATAACTTTCAGTTGTTAATTATCATATCCATTACAAATTCAAAAAAGCATTTCCAAAACAAAAATTCTATCATGTTCATCGCACTTCTCATCAAATAAAGGCCACAATATATTGCAGTGAGTGATCTACATCTATGGAATATATATCTAGGATTAATCATCCCATTCTTTCTTAATTTCGAATTTCCACTTCCACTCCAGAATTGAATTTTTATCATCATCTGTAAACTTGCTTTCTACAGTGTATGTCCCTCGTACCAGCATCCCAGATGGCGCTTCGTCTTTAGGAGTTAGGTATTCGTGGGCCTTTTCACTAGGGCCGTAACTACCAACCATGAACTTAGATTTGTCAACTGTGAAAAAAGAAGGCACTGTGTTTAGAAATTCTGAATAAAATAAATGGTCACTAAATAATGCAACCCTAGCTCCCAAATCTTTGTGTTTATAGCACTGCACTACACTATAAGACATATTTACTTCAAATTTTTTCTTGTCTCCATTTTCTTTATATAATAAAGAAACAAGCCGCTAGAATTCCTAATACATAATGACTTTTGTTAATACATGTACTCTAGTGTATTATACTAATCTAATTCTGGCTGGACTTATTTAGTAAAGAATAGGAACCTAATTCTGATACAGCTTGGAATGCTACATTTTCAATGCTTGTGGCTATTCAATGCTAGCTTTGCTTGCTGTAAGCAATGCTAGAAATGTTTGATACCTTAATTATATCCTCTTCTTTATTACCTGTAACTTTGCTACTTGAAATTTAATAAGTGCAAAGTTTTAACTTTTTAATAAATATCAATGTTCATGAATGCAGATTATGCTATGAGACAGATGATTATTGCTATGGAAGTTGATTTTTTTAACTGCAGTTATTTTCTATTATCATAATACATGTATATAATTTGTGTTTGTTATGGAAAAATAATAGCTTTTTTATTCACACTTTTAGGTCTATCTTGCTTTACAAGTATATCATTTGTAAGCATAAAACCAGCATTATTTAAATACTGGACACACCATACTAATGATTATGATCTACATGCTGATTTTCCTGGCTGGCAATGCTTAGCTATTTTGAGGGTTAATTATGCTGCTGTTTCTTTGTGAATTATATTGCTGATGCTGATTTTTGTACCAGAAATAGGTCCCTGTATTGTCTATACAACAGTAAATAATGTATTGCAATACAAAATTGGAGGCACAGATAAGTAGACATAGAACTAGTTTCTTGTGTTAATTTTGTATCAGTCATGCACAATTCCTTTGTCTTAAAACTTCCACAGAAATGAACACGAACTTTCCCTTTTAAAATACCACATTTTTCTCCAGAAATATATATCCATAAATCACTTAATACATACAAAATTAGTTTATCTGCAGTACTTGTATTTTTAAGAATTTATGAATAGTTGTCATTTATTTAGGGCTATTCTATTGGTTGCAAATATGAAAGAGGGTCTCAAATTATGCTATATATTACTACATCATAAAATAATGGACTACACTTCATACGCAAGGCATTCCAAGATGAATTATATGGCACATTCTATACTGTTAAACATATGTCAACCATTTCTTGAAACATTCACCATTACAAATAACAACTTATGTTGTAACTATAAATGATACATCTACTTGAATATTTTCACGATAGTGTTGTTAGTATGGGTAACATCAATGTTATTGGACAAAATTGAATTACCAGCACCAAGCACATCTAAAAGAAAGTCAATATCCATTTAATAAAAATCTCCCTAAAATTACCCAGGTCTACTTTAATCAATTGTGCCGTTATCTCCAAAAGGTAAGATCATTAAGTACTGTTCAAAAAAGGCTTATCTACTGAAATATACTTCCTTGTTCAGTTCAAATGTTTTATATTAAAAAAAAAACAGAAGTTGATGTTTATATTGCTTAAATAAGTGAAAAAATCTCTTCCTTGTGTTACCTACTTATTACTGATCATAATACTTATGTGTGAAATCTAGTGCTACTCCAGCTCTAACCTTGAATTCCTTTCCTAGATGTTTTTTGTTCATATCTTAGTCCCGAGACTATTTCCCGCTGTACGTAGAATGACACTTTCATTCTGTAGGTAGCCCCTTCTTTGATTGTGAACACTTGTTCTTTAAGTTTAGATAGATCTCCTGAAAAATATTAATATACCAATCAAAAACAATAGTGACAGGGAAAATTTCATAGTAAAAGCACATTTCAAATTAAAGATTTCAATGCAGAGTATATTTTACATACATAAATGAAGATCCTAAAAGCACCTGACTGACTGAATTTTCAGTTTTTATTACTAAAAATCCTGTCAATTAATTGAAAACATGCATTCATTATGAAACTTTCAATTTTACATGCACTTCTTGGGAACACAATGAGTAACACAGCACAAACACCCACTTTAATTACTGATCCCTTTGGACACCCCCTCCCCCTTTCCCAAAATAAAAAAAAAATGTTTATCAAACAATTCAGATGCAATTAAATCAAAATCTCCATGACATACTTTTATTTATCTCCACAGTATTTTTGTCATCAATATCAAACACGTCATTTTTAATGTGAAAATTTTCTCAGAGTTTAAAAAGTCTTTGTTCTAATCTTCAGGAGTGCGTAAACAATTGAACAACATGCACAAGGTTCAGAAAACTTGTAGGCCAGGCTGCACTGGGAAGGATTATAACAAACTGAAGGCACAGAGGCACATTGTGCTTCATAAGGGCTAGATATTCTGTGATGTTTGTTAAACAGAGTTCTATACAACATGAAGAACACTGATTTTTTCCTTCATTGATGAAGCAATGCCATTGTACTTTTAATGTTTCAATCCATTCATTCACTTACCTATTTCTAGAGAAATCAACACAGACAAATAATAACAATTAATATATGTCATTTGTACAATATATATAAAGATACAGAACTTATGCTTACATTATACATATATAGGGTAAATATGTATTGACTCTTCACTTCCCCTTCCAATCAACTAAACAATTCCTCTCAAGTTTGACCTCATCTACCTTATACATCCTTATACATGTACATTTGCTCTTGTAAATTAATTTGAAGCACATATTTAACATGTTAAAAATAAATAAATTGTGCACTACTTAAACTGGTTCCCTACCTGTAAGGTCCAACTCTTTGTCTGTTCGGCCCTCTACTACCAGGGACAATTTGGAAACTATTACATTACGTGGGTCCTCAGGAACTGTTCAAAAGTAAAGGTTTTATATCAACACACATTATATATATATAAATACATATATATATATATATATATATATATATATATATATATATCTAAAGGTGTACTTAATTTTCTTTAATTAAAACTGTTTATAATCCTTTAGGGATATGGGTATCCAAAATTTTGTATCGCAATTTATCACCATTTATCCCAAAAATATCACAATAACAGCATGTTTTTACAAACAATTTTCTATGAGTTTCAAAAAATTACATAATTCTTCTAATATAATATATTGTGAAAAAATAACTCCACTTTTTCAATTTTTATTTACATAATGATGAAGCAAGTTTGGATGCTAGGATGCCGATGTTTTACTGTAATACATTTTTTTTACAATACCGTTAATTATAATTCAAAAGTTTGAACAAAAAAATTAATGACTTCCAGAACTTATAATTAAATACTAAATACCGGTATTTTAGTTTCCGTATAGCATAATAAAAAATCATGATACATGTACACCATACACAGTATTATGACAAAATCACATATCCCTATAATCCTAAATACTCAATTGGTAATCCAAAATCAAGATATTTTTTACATTGTCTTGCGGAATGGAAACGAAATGATTTTTCCATTTCAGTTTTAGTTCATGCAAAAAAAAAATAAGATTTTAATTTGCATACTTTGATATACAATTTAGAAACAGTTTAATTTTCTTGGCCCTTACCCTTGAATTTACAAGTTCTTTGAATGTATACAGAAATAGATCTGTGATATGTTTTATGATAAGACACTCATTCATGAATTAATATCCCATAAATTCGTAAATTTTCAGTAAGTAATTAACAGAAATTTGCTCCCATGAAATTCCACAGTATTTCAACGTAAATCACCATTTTTAATTACTAGTAAAAACAAAATGAACCTAGTGAAGACAATGAGTTGGTCATAAATTACATGTATTCTGAGATAGACGATTCCTTAAATGGAGGATTAACTTTTTTGGCAGCACCCCCTAGTAGGGATTCCTTATAATTACATGTATTCTGAGACAGAAGATTCCTTACATGCAGGATTAACTTTTTTGGCAGCGCCCCCTAGTAGGAATTCCTTATAATTACATGTTTTCTGAGACAGAAGATTCCTTACATGGAGGATTAACTTTTTTGGCAGCACCCCCTAGTAGGGATTCCTTATATTTGCGTAGACTCTCATCTTCTTGGTCAGCCTGGAGAATTTCTTGCACAGATTTTTGTGCTGGGGGCTTGTAGTTAGGGTCATCTTCGTGGTCTCCCTCCACCTCTTGTTTCTGCTCTGCTTCTGCCATATTTCCTGCAAAGAAAGAATTATATATTAGAAAAAAATATATCGCTAGTACCCCTGTAAATTTACCAGTCCGGTACCAGGTTTGTCTGTCCTTCTTGTAACAAAAAATAAAATGTAATTCATCAGAGGGTTATTTGCTATGCTGATTAATTTTATTGAAGTCTAATCTGAAAAACAGTTAGTTTCTAACTCTATGTTTTTAGTTTCCTTTTCTAGTTTAATGTGGGAGTTTGGGTTTTATGGACCATGGATATCAGCTTGGATAGCTCAGTGGTAGAGCACCTGACTAGTAATACAGGTGTCCCAGGTTCAATTCCAGGTCCAGCTATATATTTTTTTATGCATTCCTCCTTTCCTACTACATTAAATTTAAAAAGCTTTATTTCTCTCTGAGTTGACAAAACTGGAATAAAGGTTGATATATGCAAGACTATAGATGACAAAAGAAATGATACATTTACAGCAAACCTAACCTAGAGGCATGATGGAAATTTGATGTGGAATTCCACCTATATATTGTGTGCCCCCCCCCCCCCCCCTTCGATTTTTATATTTGCTGAAAATATACAGTGTGCCCCATTTAAGCAAATTTACAGTATTGTTTGTATTTGTTTTCAATAGTTAAATTACAAGTACATGCATGTCCCAATGACAACAATGTAATAGATCTTGTTTCTTATGGAAAATTAAATAGCTAAATAATGAAAATAATTGACATGACAGTGAAACAGATACACACTTCTACATATTTTTTTAATTAGGCTCTATAAAATTGAGATTAGTTCTCGGGCCTGTATGCATCTGTTGGGAGGTAGCCGCATTGCAATTTTTTTTGTATTTTCAATAAAATAAAAATTGGTAATGTGGAGACCAATCCATGATTCCATCCTCATTTTCTTGTAGTTTTGCACTAAATTTTCATTTCGAATAAACAAGGACATCGATATGGACACTTTCACATGACTTTGTTCGTGAAAATGAAAAATATGCATATATTTGGTAATTTTCAGTTTGCAAGATGTTAAATATATCTACAGAATGACTCCAGTATAATTATGACGGAAGGATTTTCATTGTTAATTTTATAGAAAATTCTGGAATAAAAAAATGTCTCCAACATCTAACTTATCACCAATAAAAAGGTAAAAAGAAAAGCCTCTTGACCTAGCTAGCTCATCTGTTTTTTAATAAAATTGGCCTGAGAACCGAAATTTATGTTTTACTTTGCCTTATCACATTTATTATTATTATTTTTTTGTACATTTTACCTGGGCTATTATTGGGCATATTGGCAAGGTTTCTTAATCTTCTAAACCTGATTTTTTTGTGACAGAGATTTTTTGTTGTTGAGAAATCATAGATTTCTTATTTATCCTACTCCATGCCCAGGAGGATGCATGAGGTCATAGAAATCAGAGATAATAATATTACAAAATAAAGAATTATGTTGTACCATTATCATGATTATATAAAACTGCACAGGATGTTTAGTTGCAGATTATGAGCAATTTAAAGTAAGGATTAATCCAGGTTTTGGTGGAAACAGTTAACTACCCTTTCTGGAGAAATTGGGAAAATCAGCTGGAGGTCTGGGCAGTGTTCGAAATTAGCGTTGGCCCATCGGCCTTGCGCTGATGTACAAACAGAAGGACTCATGAACGCTATGAATAAATGGGTCCTTGAAATAATTTTGGGGTGACGATGATTTGCTGGGAAACGATAACGTCGATTGCATCTTCTCAGATCTTTCTGACAAGTTCGGAAAAACACATTTTTTTAACTGCTTCTCGAAAGACCCAAGAAGTTGAGTTAACATATGTTGGTTTATGCATTTACATGAACTTTTATATCTTTCCTGCATTTTGATTGGATATATTAAACAAATTGACCAATGAGCGTCTTTAAAAGAAATTAGATTTGAGATGGGTAAAGCTAGTTATTTTTATTAGATTGTATCAATTCTTCTTTTCATGTGCTTTTTAATTAAATACTGAAGATTTAATTTTTTCGCATGTTATGAATTTACGTCATATGTAATGTACATGGTTACAAACTTTCATCAGAAATTTGTCCTAGTGTACTTTAAGCACATTCTATTAACACATTGTGGCAATCTAAAAAAAACTGCGTAATTTTCTACCCGCGGATTTTAAGAACAGAAATTGTAATTCCACGGAAGTTTGAGCCCGTGGAAAAAAGTATGTTTACAGTAATATAAACACAGTTTAACACATTTTAAACTCGTTAGGTATTACAGACTGTGTGACTTTCAATGTTTTACTGTTTCATACTGTTAATATAGTGTACTTGCGAGTTGTACATGTAGATACCCTTTGTTGACATGGTAAAATTGACATATTTTACATGAACCGATAAACTTACCGAGATCATCAATAAAGGTTTATTTTTAAAAAATATTTGATGGTATTTTTTTGAGCCTACATTGTCCTGGAAGGACTCGTGTAGCGCCTTTATCTCTGGGCCCTTTGGACCCATGGAAAATAATTCTGAATTTCGAACACTGGGTCTGGGGGCCACTCCAGACCCTCAGCCGGTGCAGGGAGAGCCCTGCTGGGGGGGGGGGGGGGATTTTGAATTGAATTTCAGCATTTTAATGACCATTTAGAGTGCATAAATAGCAAAATAAAACCATTTTCACATCTTCTGAAAAAAATTACTTTAAATTTCCAGTTTTTATGCAGGAAAACAAAAATTATTTGAGGTTTTTATTATTGTAAGGGAAATGTTCTACTCATCAAAAGTGGAAAATGGGATATTCAGGGGAAATTTTCTCTTGGGGAAAAATACCGAATATTGGCAGTAAATATGCCCTAGATTAATCCCTGTAAAGGTCAGTGTCTTTCATATTCCTATTCATTTTCAATCGATCTTTTCAGCTCAGAATTTAATAAATTAATATAACTTTTTATTTTGTTGGATATGTATCAGGAAAGGAGAAAATGTATGGCAGGCTGGCCCAGGAATTGAACTTGGGACCCCTGTATCATTAGTCAAGTGATCTATGAATGGAGCTATCCAGGCCCATATCCACGGCCTAAACCATCACATTCTTCCCTCCATAAATTGTCTTTGCCCTCAAAGACACAGCCCAAGTTAGTTATTTTTGCCACTGGCAGGACTTTCACCTGCAAGTCCAGGGGTGGTGAAAAGCACCAAATTATGTAACAGGAAAGGAGAAAATATATGGCTGAATAGGGAATCAAACCCAGGACTCCTTCATCACTAGTCCGGTGCTCTACTGGGCTACCCTGCCGCATATCCACAGCCCAAACCATCATAGATGAAATATGGAGATAACGAACAGTATTCTAGCTCAAAGGCCTTTAAAACCATACAAATCGGGAGCAGAGCAAACACGGACCTCCAAAAACTCAGAGGTGGGATGAGGTGCCATGGAGGAGTGAGCATCCCCTGCCGACTGGTCACACCTGCCGGACGCACCTTGTCATGATTGGGAAATAATGGAAAAATCCGTCGACAATTCAGTGTGTAAATAATTGCTAACAATTAGTATGAAAAATGTCAGTCGGCATATGAGTTGATGATAGATTGTATTTGCTAACAAGGTCATTGTATCGACCATAGAACTTATGAAATGATGACATCAAACGAGAGTGTTGATATTCTTGTTTCATCAACTTGTTTGTCAATAACTTACCTCGTTTTAGAAATTGTTCATATGTAGAGCATGCTCTTGCGCATCGAATCAACTGAGAGATATACTCCCCATATGCAGGTGATAAGGGTATATTGGTGCATAAGTAAGGGAAGTTGACGATATAATATATATTTAATATGTTGACGGTGCGACCGTTAGGGCGAGCGCAGATTTTTATTCAGGTTTAATTTAGATCGGGCTCGATCGTCAAACTGCACTTGACATTTCACGTTTAGACTCTGACGTCACATGACGTCGTATTTAAGTTGCATTACCAAACCGAAGCCGGAACATTATTGACTTTAATGAAGAACGTTTTATTTACTATTTATCTGCAATATATCTATTAAATTAAGGCGAGTTTATTTTTTGTTAAACTGTTGTTGTTATTCTCACGAGAACGTAGCTTTAAAACAAGCGATGCATTATAGGTCCAAGGTTACTGCCGAAAAAAATATGTTTGGATCAATGTGTAAGTCCGAATTTTCTCTTCGCCCAGGCGTTGTCGTTAGAGCTTCGCACAGCTCGCTATAAATATATATTTAAATATATAAAATATAAAGATATAATATATAAAAAGATATAATTAAATATATTTAACTCTGAATAATCATCATTATGAACACTAAACCCCCATTATATGGAACTTATCTGTTAGTCAATGCAATGTAACAAAGAGAATACCAATTCTTATTTGGTGTTGCATAAAGAAAATATACAAAAGGAGTAAACTAGGGTACACGGATAGGTAAGGGTGTGTGATATAATATCATAAACAGGAAGCAATGGACAGATGTCTACACCTGCCCATCTTCCTCTGTTGAAATCACTAAAAAAATCAGTCATTTCTGTTCCTTGACATAGGAGAATAAAAAATTATCAAGATATATGTATACAATTATGAAAACGTATAAAAGTGATAAAATCATAAATGTGCATATACCCTGAATCCTTTTCAAATGGTTAGCCTCCTCGCCCAATGAATACGCTTCCGGCTTTTACAGCGCTTCTCATCGTCATTCGCAATAGTAAAAATAGTTCTGAGAAAATTTTCCGATAACTTGGAAAATTACCTCTTATACATAAATACAAATATTGAAATACATGCTAAACCAAAATTTCAAAGGAATTATTTATTTTCAAAATCGGAGCTTGATGGGCTTCAGATACAAATTACTACGCATGACCTTTGACCCTGAAACATGCTGAATGTTGCATGTGATGTAATTTTGGGTAAGCAGAGTTGACAGTAATTAGTCATTAGAATACATCGAGCAAAAATTACATTCAGCATTGTTATTTATCGTGCATTAACAAGATATATAAGTTAGCGAGCATCTTGGGTGCACATCGCTTGTGACTACCAAGCCCGACCTTAATTATTTCTGCAGCCTAATGTCAGCTATATAGCCTTTATCCCATGTTAGTACTTGCCTTTTTTAATGTGAGAATGTTCTTGCTTTTTATGAATTGATATATTTTGTGCCAACACACAGTACAAAAAGTACTGTCATACAATTCAAGGGTTATTTTGAAACTAGCAATGATGATGCATGCTTATGAGATACACAGAAGGACAGCAAACCACCCTTAAGGCCCTTGCAAGAAATGAAAGGATTTGTAGAATGTGCGACATGACTTGTGTGGAAGATGAGATTCACTCACTGATTGAATGTCCATTATATAAACATGATAGACATGAATTTTTTGAGAATATTGCTAAAAATAATAAAAATTTTTATTGTTTAACAATTAATAAAGAAAAATTTTTAATTGTGGATTATGTCTAATGAGAATGATATATTGCTTATCAAGCTGGGTAATTTTCCAATCAATATTTTTAAAATAAGAAATAGTGAATTATATAATGTTAAAAAGAACCAAATAAATGCAAAAGAGTAATAATATTAAATTATTAATACTCTAGTACAAATATACATGTTACAAATCTTTGTACGTTTGCTAATTATATATATATATATATATATATATATATATATATATATATATATATATATATATATATATATATATATTTTAAAACATTTATTATTGGTAATCCCCATCTGCTATAATCATCATCATCTTCTTTAGTTAGTTTCTTTTCTTTTCTCTTAATATCGACATGTTGCTACTATCAATTTTGAATTTCTTCTTGTGTATATAATTCTTTACTTGTATGCCCTGAGGGGCCCCAAATTGGGATCAATAAATCTTATCTTATCTTATCTTATCTATACTCGATCATCATACTGTATATGTTAGTGTATGGTACATGTATTTTTGTGACACAAAACACCTTTGTGATGGACCGTTTTTTTATGTTTCCATAAAAAAAAAAATTTCTTGTAAATTGATTAATATGCAAATACAGATTACAGTTGAACTTCGATTGGTAACTTGAACACAGATATCTTGAATACCATGGATATGTCAAAGTAATTTTGAAGTCCTAACTACTTATTCCTTAAGTATTTTACCCTGGATATCTCGAATCCTCGGTTATCTCGAAGTATTTTCTTGGTCCCCTCAAGTTCGAGATTAAACGAGGTTTGACTGTATTTGATTTATATTAATTTTGATTAATTTTTATTTATTTTATTAATGAAAAGCAAAGAGAGCTAATATTTCTGGAGGTACATCCAAGTATATACCTTAACGTTAATCACCTGTCTAGTGATATCAAAATGAAGTCAATTGTTATGAAGTCTATTTATTGTTTTAAGGTTTCCTCTGATTTACCATGTATATTCTACCAAGAATTTGTTCACGTCATCTAAGACAACTCCTAGGAAAATCTTTTTTTCGTTACGCCTCAACATCATCACAAGATGTCCCTCATGTATGCATTGTTGGGAGTGGTCCTGCAGGATTTTATACAGCGCAGCAAATTCTAAAGGTATAATATTTCCAAAAGTACTATACAATTAATGCATCTGAACATTTTTTTCTGAAAAAGTTTCTTGATATCCCCCTCCAACTCCCAGGGTTCCATATACTTTAAAAGCTAAACAGTGTTGGGTCAGCTTAAACAGTGTTGGGTCAGTTCCAAAGCTAACAGGCTGTAACAGTGGAAAGAAAGAAATGTATGGCTGGACTGTGATTCGAACCTGGGATCCCTGCATCTCTAGTCAGGTGCTCTACCAACTGAACTACCCAGGCCCATATCTATGGCCCAAACCATTACAAAGATATAAAAACAGGGACAGAGGAAGGAGAATATCAGTATCAATTATTCATGTAATAAAATTATCATTGGGGGGTAATACCCACACTTTTTAATTAACCTCATTAAACCTTCTAATCTTGAACATGAGGGGAATTTTGGGGTAGAGGTATCTGACTTACTTTGATATACATGTATAACTGGTATTAAACATATCGGTGTTAACTTTGATATACTGAAGTTTGTATTTTGATTAAGGATATTGAAAATTCCAGAGGAAGAGATATGGAGTCACCTAAGGACTCCCTCCTCCTCTCCCTCATTATTGATTGGATCTGTCCTGCAGGGGTTGAAATTTTCCTAGAAAACTCACTAGTCCAGAGGCTACTGATCAGTAAAAAATTACTAGCCCAAACCTCAAACTAACTAGCCCAACATTTTTTTTTTTACGCAAAATGAAAACAAAACACAAGTTTTAAACACTTTGGTGATTAAAATCAGATCCTCATTGCTTCTTTTTAACGACATGTCGCTGATTAAAATCAGATCCTCGTTGCTTCTTTTTAATGATGTCGCTTTTAAGTGACGTCGTTAAAAAGAAGCAACAATGATCTGATTTTAATCAGATTGGTGACAGAAACAAATGAAACTAGTTCTCAGTCAGAAGAAACCAGTCTACATAAAAAACAAAAGTAAACTGACAAAAATTTTTTCCTGGTCTTCTTGTCTGACAGACTGTTGCTGCATTTAAATAAGTTAGCCTGAGTCTTTAAAAATGATTATATTTCAACCCCTGTCCTCACTACATTATATGTACATTCACTATTATAAACTGATGCAGGTTATTAACATTGATACAATTTCAGGGACATCCAGCAGCAAGGGTGGACATATTGGAAAAATTGCCAGTTCCGTTTGGACTTGTGAGATTTGGGGTAGCTCCTGATCACCCAGAAGTCAAGGTTTACATTCTTTTTACAGCTGTGTTAAATTGATTCAAACTATTTTTTCTTTTTTTTAGTAATTTTTAGAATTCTTAATTTAAGTATTCAATCCTGGGAAAAAAGAAAATGATGGACAGGAAAGACTAAATTAGGGGTCTTGTGCTTACCATTCCTAATTCATACATAGACCAATCTTTTGTAGAATGTTATCCACACGTTTACCACAACTGCCAGAAATCAGAGATGTACATTTATAGGAAATGTGGAAGTTGGTAAAGATATCTCAATAGAAGACCTGCAGAAGGCTTACACAGCTGTAGTCCTGGTAAATCTGTTACTTTGTGTCTACACAGCTGTAGTCCTGGTAAATCTGTAACTTTATTTGTGTCTACCAGCTGTAGTCCTGGTAAATCTGTTACTTTATTGGTGTCTACACAGCTGTAGTCCTGGTAAACATGGGTAAATCTGTTACTTTATTGGTGTCTACACAGTTGTAGTCCTGGTAAATCTGTTACTTTATTTGTGTCTACACAGCTGTAGTCCTGGTAAATCTGTTACTTTATTTGTGTCTACCAGCTGTAGTCCTGGTAAATCTGTTACTTTATTTGTGTCTATACACAAATTGAAGTCCTGGTAAATCTGTTACTTTGTGTCTACACAGCTGTAGTCCTGGTAAATCTGTAACTTTATTTGTGTCTACCAGCTGTAGTCCTGGTAAATCTGTTACTTTATTGGTGTCTACACAGCTGTAGTCCTGGTAAACATGGGTAAATCTGTTACTTTATTGGTGTCTACACAGTTGTAGTCCTGGTAAATCTGTTACTTTATTGGTGTCTACACAGTTGTAGTCCTGGTAAATCTGTTACTTTATTTGTGTCTATACACAAATTGAAGTCCTGGTAAATCTGTTACTTTATTGGTGTCTACACAGTTGTAGTCCTGGTAAATCTGTTACTTTATTTGTGTCTACACAGCTGTAGTCCTGGTAAATCTGTTACTTTATTTGTGTCTACACAGTTGTAGTCCTGGTAAATCTGTTACTTTATTGGTGTCTACACAGCTGTAGTCCTGGTAAATCTGTTACTTTATTTGTGTCTACACAGTTGTAGTCCTGGTAAATCTGTTACTTTATTGGTGTCTACACAGCTGTAGTCCTGGTAAATCTGTTACTTTATTTGTGTCTACACAGCTGTAGTCCTGGTAAATCTGTTACTTTATTTGTGTCTACACAGTTGTAGTCCTGGTAAATCTGTTTCTTTATTTGTGTCTACACAATTGTAGTCCTGTTATTTTATTTTTTGTCTACATAGCTGTAGTCCTGGTAAATCAGTAACTTAACTTTATACTCTTTTCCATATCACACCCTTTATCAGTCTGAGACACCAGTATCACCAAGAGGGCAGAAGGCCAGTGGTCTAATACTGGTCGATATGGTGTGATGTGGAAAAGCGTTTGTACTATATGTATTATGTTTATAACGAGGGTTGTTCGGAAAGTTCGTGGACTACCGTCATAACTTTTTTACTTAACGTCATGTTATATCCAAATTTGGAAGAAATATTTCAACAGTAAATTCAAATGATGTGTATTAAAAGTTTTTAAAATATCGTGGTTTATTTCAAACTTATTTAGAGTTTAAAAATGCGAAAATCGGATCACGGAGCAGGTCAAAATTTTGTAATTTACAATCAAGACACCAAATAATGTCTGAAATCATATCTTCTGTAAAATGACACAAAAACAGAAAAATTCTACACGTTCAAATTACTGTAGATTCCTTATTCTTCACGAGTACTTATTTTCGCGAAATGACTCTTTGACGTAAAATCGCGAGAATAATAATTTGCGAGTGGACAGTTGATAGAGAGATTTTACATTGATTTAAGCACCATAAAAATAAAAGCGAGTAATTTTATTTCGCGAGTGGTTCTTCTCGCGTAATTACGCGATAATTAATTCCTCGCGTATATTTAGGAATCTACAGTAGGAATTGTTTCCTCGTTTCTGATTCGAAATTATGACTTAATGTTTTGCTTCGTTGAAAAGAAATCAGTTTCCAGAAGATAGGTAGTCCTTACTGAAAAAGGCAAAAAAGATGACATCGTAGAACGTTACGGAGCAGCAGTTAACCATACAGTTTTGTATTGTACTCTGGAAAACTAAAAAAAAACACCTCTGAAAATGCCTGAGGAAGTAGGAAATATGTCAAAAGTGAGCCATGCATGTGTGTTACATAGTACAAGCGGTATTTGAATGATAGACTACTCTGCTTAGACGATGGTGATCTGTGAGAAAACAGATTATCTGTAAAAATCTTACCAAAAACATTGAAAAGTTAGTAACATCATGCTAAGAGTTTGGAGCTTCACAGATGCTGATCTTGTGAAAGCATATTTTTGCAGTGAAAAAAATATAGCATTGGCAAACAAAATGATGCTACTGGAACAATTGTTAGCAAAATAGATTTCAAGTGATAGAGAAATGTTTTTAATGAGTGCACTGGTATTGGGCAATACTCTGTGAAATGTATAGGGATAGTATTTTTGAGAACCTCATGTCGGTATGTTTTTGACGTTACAGCATTGTTCAGTTTGCTCAGTGGTTACAAAACGTGTTGATTTTAAAATTAAATAACATGAATTTTATTAAATCACATGGAATGAAACTTTACACTTGAACAAAATAAATATTTTTACATATTTTAAATTTCTTGAAGATAGTATATACAACAAAGATTGGCATAGTCCGCAAACTTTCCCAACAACCCTTGTACATTATTGATAGGGGATTGTGCATATCTGATATGTTGGTGATGTCTTTGATGTGTTAATTTAGCAGCCATTATACTTATTTGGTGAAAAAGGACTACATATAAGATTATGTGATTATTTGTAGATGATTAAATGATTGTTTATGATAATGGTAAAGACTTTGTGTTTTGCAGGCTTATGGTGCTGATGATGACAGAACACTTGCAATAAAGGGAGAGGTAAGGACCAAGAGAAAATAATTTACAGACACTCATCATTGTGTCACCTGCAGATCAGAGTGACACTTAGGGATCGCTTTAGCTGGCGTCTGTCTGTATGTCCATCTGTCACACCTTATATCTTAAAAACTATAAGAGATATATCTTAATATTTTGCACATGTATAGCTTGGTACTATGGCTTTTGTTAAATATATATATTTTGCACATATATAGCTTGGTACTAATATGGCTTTTGTAAAATACCATGGTTACCTGTCTGGTGACCTTAGAACTTGACATTTGACTTACTTTTCAATATGGATTATAGTGCCAATATACAGCTTATTTTTGACATATAAGAGGTAAGTCTTTGCTATGTAGCATGTGCACTGTTTATCATAATATACACATTTAAAAAAAAATTCCAAATGACAGTCCACTTGACCTTGAACTTTAACCTCCTTTGTAAAAATTGTTCAAGTGCAGATCAAAGATTACATTGCCATATATATATCAGTTAAGTACTGTTTGGTCAATTATAAATATTTTCTACTACATCAGACTTACCTAGAGTAGAGTATACAGTGGGGGACTTTCGCCCCTCCCCACCGTGGCTGTACCCTTCTGAATTCCGTAAAATGTATATCAAAACAAGACTTCAGTTGTGAACTTGATCTCAAAACTTGGACAATACACTGTTAATTAATAATGTTGAAATCATGGACTTTTAATTTTATAGCTACATTAAAAGGTTTCATTTATCTAATTATTTATCAAGAAGAAAATAATTGTGTGAGCATTGTAGGCTATGAGCCTCTTGTTTTTGTTTTTAAATCTGTGAGTATGTTGCATAGATATCACAAATATTCTATAATATAATGTTTTTGACATTGTTTTTTTTTTACAGGATAGTCCCAATGTGATCTCAGCCAGATCTTTTGTTGGTTGGTTCAATGGACTTCCACAAGACAAAGATGTATGTATCTAAATACTGTGAAATCACCAATTTTCGTGAGGGTTTAATTTTTTTTTTTAAGGAGGGAAGAGACCCACAAATTCATGTCCACCATATTTGTTTCTTTGCTTTTTACAGCTGCCTGTAGATTTAGATGTGGAGAATGTGGTTATCCTAGGTCAGGGAAATGTGGCTCTTGATGTGGCCCGGATTCTGCTAACACCAATTAGCATATTACAGGTATTTCTTACCTCTGTCATCAGGTATTGTAATTAACATACCCAGTAAATTTGTAGTGTACTTCCTCTATTTTTTTGTCCCCCGCTTTCACTGAAAGTGGAGGATATTAATTTGGGGCTGTCTAGCTGTCTGTTATTCTATTATTCTGTCTGTGTGAAACACTTTCGTTTCTTGACAAAATCTCAAAAAGCTTTTGAGGTCATAACTCCCTATGATCTAAAGAAGACCCCTATTGATTTTGAGGTCAAAATTTCAAAAAGCCTTCCAGCTTTTGCAATGAAATTTTATATCACAACTCCCTATGGCCTTAAAAAGACCCCTATTGATTTTGAGGTCAGAAGGTCAAAGGTCTATGTCTGAAATTCATATGTATAAAAAATGGTTTTCTGCTGATAACTGGAATTTTTTGTCATAACTCCCATTGATTTAAAGAAGACACTCACTGTCATATCTATCATAAAATTCATATCTTCCATAAAATGGTTTTCTAGTGATAACTTTAGTTCTCTTTGAGATTTTGCAATGGATATTTTAGTTAGTCAATATAACTTTAAAAAAACCTCCTGATTTTAAGGTGAAAGGTTCAGAGACAAAGGTCAGAAATTCATTTATTGCATACATAGTTTCTGATAATAACTATAGTTCTTTGTTAGCTTTTGCAATGAAACTTATTGTCAGGAATTTCTTTAACTTATAAAAAGTTACTCCTATTGACCTTATGACCAGAAACTGAAAGGTCAACCTTTCTTTTCTTTCTCCATCTGCATTTCTTTCAGTTGTTTGACCCTTTTCTTTTTTCCTTAAGGGGGATGTCCGGCCACCTTAGGTGAAATGAAAACAAAAAGTAAACATTTCTTCAAATGACTAAAGTACACTATAACTTGATCAAATTTTATGTCCTTAGGATGAAGAAACAATAAATATGCATAACTTAATGCATGTTTTGCGTAAATAATTTACACTTTTGCAGAAAAATGCTTTTGATATGCACTTTAGAACTGCGCAGCTACACACTTTAATAGAGCCTTAAAAAATCCAAAAAAATATCCAAAGTGTGCCTTAATGTTCTCCCTACAATCATTTGTTGAGAAAATGTCTAAATTTTGCACTGTTAAATGGTAATTTCCAGTTACAAACAAGGCACTGTTGTCTTCAAAATGAGTGTAAAGAACCATGAAAGTAGTTCATGGACAGCAGCACGAGATCTATTTTTAGCACAAAATTTTTCCAGACCACTTCTTTTTATGGAGGCACATAATGGTCTGAAATGAAGAAACTTAAACTACAGACAAAGTAATAAAACACCTCTATATTAAGTTTATTTTAAAAAGTAAAGGAGAATTACTTATGAATTTTTTTTAAATTATATAAACACAGGAGTTGTGTGTAATAAATTGTAGTGAATTAAAATAATAATTATTTATTGAACATTTGTTTTATAGTGTGTTGTTATAACAAATTCTTCAAGTCTTTGCTTCCAGGCAATGAAAATTGTGCAACATCAAAATTAAAGTTTTTGAATGAATTTTTCTCCACTTTGTAATTAAACAAATGTGGTATTTCAAGTATTGATAACTTCCAGATTTGTAATTATCAACAATGAATCACAAATAGAATAAAGATCGTAAAATTAATGTGAATGAGCTTGTTTTAGTACATATATTTTGTCATACATAGTGATACATTTTCAAATTCCATTACATCCTAGCTCCATTTCAATGGGTACAAAATCATTAAGAGTAATTATTAGGGGATTTAATGATTTACAAACATTTTTTTTAAATTTCTTTATTTTGTCCATGGTTTCCAACTTACAATTTCACCAAGTAAAGAAAACAAAATCAACATAATTATATACAAGATTAGTACATGTTTAATCATATACCTAGTAATGCTAGAATTTTAAAACTTTGACCATAATTTCAAAAACAAACTCAAGATTGTCATGTACAATACTGCAAAACAAAGTGCTAATGAAACATTTTGCTAATAAAATTAAGACAAATATGCAATCTACTCTCCAGTGATGAACTCTAAATTTCAATATTTATTTTTTAAAGTTGATACTAGCATAATTTTTTTTATAATATTGATGGATACCTTATGTTCACAATGCTCACCTTAGTCAAATTGCTTTCTCTGAGTCTCTCAGCGCCTGTCTCTCATATCAAGTAAATATAAAAAACCCTCTTTGTGGCCCTAAACCAGGTTTTGAGTGTTACATTATGTATGTATTGACAACTGCATTTACTAAACATAATTTTGTCAGATTAGTATTCCCTTTTCAATGTAGTTCCCTTGTTATGCCCTAACCATGGAACCCCCCCCCCCCCCAAAAAAAAAAACAAACAAACAAACAAACAAACAATTGAACCTACATCGTTCAATACACATGAAGATACCCTCTATAAAACTAAATGCAAATGAATGTGGACATCTTTCCAATGCTGATCTGGTAATTTTTTTTTACTGAATTCTTACAAATAAAATCTCAATATATTGGTCAAGAGAAATTTGAGAAAAAAAAACATTTTTGACTGTTCTGAAATACACCTATGACCTATTGTGATTAAAAAAAACATTCAGCAAATTGACAGATGCTCATTTGGAAAAAAAATAGTGTGTTACTCACAGAAATCTATGATTTTAGACATTGGTTTTACATACATGTATTTTTAAAGTCTGAAGTCTCTTTTGTAATGACAGTGAGATAAGAACTATATGATAAATTTTAAAATAATCAGTCCTTGAAAACTTATGTATAAAAGATTCACAAGATTAATTCCTATACACATTACACACGTACATTGCACACTGCTTTAAGACATTGTATCATAATGTGTGAATTTTAATTTGAATACACAGCCCTTGCAGCAGACAGATAAAAGGAATGAATTCTTTCTGATTTAGAAATCTATTACAGAGTAATATATTTCAAAGAAAAACACTGAATGGAGTTCTCTTATTTTACATTATATGATTGATATTCTGTTACCAACATTATCTCCAAATCCTATATGGTAAAACATCACAGGGAACAGCGCAGTATAACGAACAGAATTGATGTTCCAAAGATGGCACTATTGGGCTCTGATTTACAATGTATCCTCACTGGCAAGAGTCTGGGTTTACAACAGATTTCTTTTTAGTTTAGAATTTCAATGCAATTTTCACAAGATATTCTTCAAAGACCTACAATAATAAAATTCAGAACATTCAAAAATTAGAAAAAAAAATTACTATAACAGTAGCAAATTACAAAACAATACTTATAAATCCTTTCTCTGTTGCCAAGGATGACAAGCCTTACCCTCTCTGCAAACATTGCCCTCTCTTCCAGAGTTCAAAGAAAGAAATTAAGATATTTTTATCAAACTTCATGTGCTGATATACATGTATATTGTGGAGAGCTTTCAGCTTCATGAACATTTTTTGATCTTGACCTCACTTTCTGAGTTTAGCTCAGTTTCAAAGAAACTATTCTAAATATTTTTATGTAAGCTTCTGCACTGATACATTATTTGGTGAGAATTTATCAAATTTGTCCAATTTTTTTAACCTTGACCTTCCCAATAATCTTTGACTTTAACATTTATTATGTATAAAACCAAATTTTAAAGAAATTATTCAAGATATTTTCATCAAACTTCATACACTGATACAAATTTTCATGTTGCATTACTAATGAACCCTGGGTGGAACATTCATGTCCTATGTACATATCTCTTTTTTTTGAAACATATTTCTGGTTGCATGGTCTAATTTGCTTATCCATTACTAAGAAAACTGAACTAATATCAGGCACATAACAAAACTCTTCACTGGCCTACTTGACTTACTTAATAAATAAATTAGCAAGAATATAAATGATACAAATCAAAGCAAGTTTAGTATTGAAAATGCAATATGTCAATTAATTTTGTAATGTACATATCAAATTGTGAACAAGAACAGCTTAATACTAAATTATGAGAGGAGACCTGCTTAAGAAGCTCGATATGCATTAACCAAAGATGCCTTGAGCTGATCATTGTCATCAAAGCATTTAAATGACATGCCATGCACATCATTATCTAAACAAGCTCTTGGATATCCAAATGACTTACTTCTCTCTTGCTTTTCTTTTGTAATAATGGGAAGACTCGTGTTCATATTTGCAGTTAATTTGCACCTATAACTTATATCCACACCATTATGAATCTTGAGTTTGCTTATTCTTGGCATTGACTCCCCCTGTAAACAAATTTTACAAGTACCTGTATTAATAAATTCATTGACAAATGGTGTTAAGAATGAAAAATTTTAGTGTTTATAAGCAAGAAACTTGAAATTAAAAAAGAGGAACTGCACATAGATACAGATGCATGGGCTATTAACAAACTTACTTGATTCCTTTGTGCAAAACTTAGGTCTGTATTAAATTGCATCTCAGAAAATCTATGGGAAACTAGTTAAGGATATGACACCTACAATATGTGAAGTATTTAATTCATAATAATTTAATCAGCAATAAATACACAATATGTGAAGTTTATCATTAATTCCTGTTACTTTCTATACACACATCTTGATTATCTTCCTTAAATCATGCACTAGTTTATGGTATAAATAATGTAATACATGTAATACAAAAATTTCCATGGAAAATTTTAATTTTCAAAAAAATGTATAATACTGCCTACTGTTTACATATTACACTGTGCTGTCTAGTTATAAATATAATTGATTCATAAAATGTGATTTTTCACATAGTAACTAAATCACACATTAAGAAATGTGTGTCCCACTTCATCTCTAAAGTCACCAAGCTAATAAAATTAAAAATAAATTACATTTACTCAGTAGTCCCTAGAGAGACAATATATATACCTACTCTACTGTGGTTGCAAGATTCTGCATCAAACTCAAAATATTAAATACTAAGAAATAATGGGTTCAAGCAAATTTTGTCCATGAAATATTATCCAAAATTTTCACAAGTTTGTTTTAATGGTATCTGCAAGCAAGGCCATATCAAGACAATTAAGAAGAGATATGTGCGACTGGTCGGCAGGGGATGCTCACTTTTCCATGGCACCTGATCCCACCTCTCATGTTTTAGAGGTCCGTGTTTGCTCTGCTCCTGATTTGTAATGTTTAATGGACTTTTGAGCATGAATACTGATCGTTGTTTCCATATATTTGATGTGTAATTTGTGAATGCTCAACCCTGGCCTGGCCTACTTATTATAAGTATTGATGCATGGGCAATTTTAGTGTAAATATTTTTTTCCAGTTGAACAGCAATATAAGTTGACACAGTTGATGCAGAAAAAAGACAAGAAAAGTGTATCATACTCAGATTTTGGAGATAAATTATTGAAGAAGAAAATGGTAGCAAACATTTTCCTATTACCTAAATCCTCCATGTCCTCTGAAAGTGTTATCTAAATATTAAAAGCTGCAATTTTTGGGAAGGTTTACTCCATGTAATTGGATTTGAAGTTAGAAACCTTGAGATTATGACATGAGTCATGTAAAATTTTATTATACTAGATTAGGGTAAGTTTTTATTACAGAAAAAGTGCATGTGTCTAGATATATGATACAGTGTCAAAACTGATGCAAAACAAATTTTGGAAACAATTTCACACAGTCACATGAATAGTTTATTTTTCTGACTAATGACTATTCAACATGTCCAATAACTTAAGTATTTTAAAAAAAAATTAGACTTCAAAACATTGCAGTTAAAAACCTGGACACACTTTTCCATGATGTGTTTTTAGGTCCAAAACAATGCTCCATACAAAGTGTGGCCCTAATACTCGACAGTACAGCAAACAATCTCCTTTTATTATGAGGCTCCTGTAGGAAATTATATAACTGACTATTTCTTCTTTCTATCTGCTGAACAGTATTGACACGTGTACTTACTTTCCGAATGTAATAATTACAATGTGTTATTGAATATATCACAACCTGCTTAACATTTTTAAATTAAAAAAGATTCATCCTGCTTGTAGAGCCCCATTTAAAAATAGTCTCTATGTACAAACACAACTTAAAGGAGAGGCAATTCGGAACGTGAAGTCAAGAATTTTAACTGATGACTGATCAGAAATCACATAGATATATGGCATTTTTAGAAACTCTGCAAGTCTGCAGAAAATTATTACACGTTCATTGCAAGGATTCAAAGAAAGAGTCACGTTTTTACACACCCGAACTGTGTCTTACCTGTTATTAGCTATCAGCTGTTTTCACCGGAAACAATGGACATTCATTCTTCTATCGCCATAGAAAAGAGATCCGCCGTAAACACATATGTTTAGAACTGTTTAATCTTTTCCCATTAGTTTGAAAGGAGTCAACAAACTATCAAGACTTGTTCTAAGCAAAATTCAATTGTAATAAATGCATCTATCCACAAAAGAAATATGCATATGCCAACCACGTGCTCTGTGGAATGATATGACTGAGGAAACTCGAGTGATAAACAGGACATTTTTTCCCGGTTTGCGAGAGATGGGTTAAAATCGCGTTTTGTCATTAATAAGACAATGCGATGCAACAAATAAAAGATGTAAGTTGTGTAAACTAAGTACCATTACTTAGATATGTCGTGTGTTTATGTTGTTAAGGTCTCATTTATTCTAAAAACAATGTTATTTGAACTCTGTGTGACAGAGGAATGGCGGGCATAATAAACGCATGGCCTCAGGGAGACCACCATATGAAAAATCAAATTTTCAAAAATTATGGACAACGACAAGAAAAAAGCAAAACAAATGGTTGTAGCCATATTATTAATGAACCGAACTGACATCATTTTCATTGCATTATTCATCTCCTAAATGCTGTGGCTGCGCAGTTCTAACATGATTAATTTTCACCAAATGCAAACAATAGAAAAATAATTATTTACTAGTTTTGGTCTCTAACAGTAGGTAATAAGTGCATTAGCACTTTGAGTAACTTTGAGCTGGTTTGGTAATGTATTAAGCGCATTCTTCGTATGTCTTATTTTAGACCAGAATACATCCAAGATGGCTTGTACATCCCCCTTAAGTAAAGGACACAAATTCCTTGAATTAGCTTGTTCTCTTATCCTTTGAAACTTGGAGTAGTAATGAAATTAATTATAACATGACTGAGTTAATAACAATAAACTCTTAGATGAAATTATGTTGACAGAATGTGTTTTAATTTTCAGAAAACGGATATATCCCAGCATGCATTGGATGCCCTGTCTCGAAGTCGAGTAAAAAAGGTGTACATTGTGGGCAGAAGAGGTCCTTTACAGGTGGCATTTACCATCAAGGAGCTGAGAGAGATGACCAAGTTGCCTGACTGTAGGCCTGTCATTCATAAAGAAGATGTAGAAAACCTTGACAAGGTCATAAAAGGCAAGTCACTGTTATGAGTGTTAATTTATTTAAGAAATAATGCTATTCAGTGAATATGGTATTATGAATAACAATTGTTATGCTGGCATATTCCATGATGCACTTTAATGCATCAATGACAACAACACTGCAGAGCTGTTGCTATTCATAATGCAATTTTCACTGAATAACATTTATTACTTATATTTGCATTCCGTGACATTGTCAAGAATGACAGAGGAAAGACTGACTGAGATTTTTGCATGGCTGCTTATCTTTAGTAAAAAATATTGAGGAAATTAAAATCAGCGAATTAAACTTATTAACACACTTTAATTCCATATGAATCACATACAATATTCACAGTATTTCTAAACCCCTATTTTACTGATCCTCTAACATGATGTCACATCTTGATCAACTTCTTGTGACATTTCATCACACTTATAATCTTTCATAAACAGTTATTATTCATAGTACATGTATTTTACCTCTGTGACAGATAATTATAGCAAAACAATTTTTAGCTCACCTGAGCCGAAGGCTCAAGTGAGCTTTTCTGATCAAAATTTGTCCGTTGTCTGTCGTTGTTGTCGGTGTCATCGTCGTCGTTGTAAACTTTTCACAATTTCATCTTCTTCTCCAGAACTACTGGGCCAATTACAACCAAACTTGCCACAAAGTATCCTTGGGTGAAGGGGATTCAAGTTTGTTCAAATGAAGGGCCACGCCCTCTTTCAAGGGGAGATAATAAAGAATTAGTGAAAAATTAATAGCATCTTTTAAAAATCTTCTTCTCAAGAACCAGAGGGCCAGGAAAGATGAAACTCATGTGGAAGCATCCTCAGGTAGTGTAGATTCAAGTTTGTTCAAATCATGACCCCTGGGGGTAGGGCGGGGCCACAATGGAGGATCAAAGTTTTACATAGATATATGTAAGAAAAACCTTAAAAAAATCTTCTCAGGAACAGCAGAGCCATGATGAGTCATATTTATATGGAAGCATCCTCAGGTAGTGTAGATTCAAGTTTGTTCAAATCATTACCCCCAGGGGAAGGGCGGGGCCACAATGGAGGATCAAAGTTTTACATAGAAATATATAGAAAAATCTTTAAAAATCTTCTTCTCAAGAACAGCAAAGCCATGATGAGTCATTTATATGGAAGCATCCTCAGGTAGTGTAGATTCTATTTTGATCAAATCATGACCCCGGGGGTGGGGTGGGGCCACAATGGAGGATCAAAGTCTTAAATAGAAATATATAGGAAAATTTCTTCTTCTGAAGAACTGCAAAGCCATGATTAGTCATTTTGATATGGAAGCATCCTCAGGTAGTGTAGATTCAAGTTTGTTAAAATGATGACCCCCTGGGATAAGGTCGGGCCACAATGCAGGATCAAAAATTTTACATAAGAACATATAGGAAAAATATTTCTTCTCAAAAACAGAAAAGCTATGTTTAGTCATATTGATATGGAAGCATCCTCAGGTAGTGCAGATTCAAGTTTGTTCAAATGATGACCCCTGGGATAGGGAGGAGCCACAATGGGGCATCAGATTTTTACAAAGGAATATATGGGAATTTTTTTTAAAAATCTTCTCAAGTACAACAAAGCCATTTGTTATATTGACATGGAAGCATCATCAGGTAGTTTAAATTTCAAGCCCCCCCCCCCCCCCCCCCCCCCAGTAATCTTTTCAATACTGAACTGATTTGTGCTTTTGCCAAGCCAATGTACTCAGGTGAGCGATGTGGCCCATGGGCCTCTTGTTTTTAATGTTTTTATATGATTGTTTTTTTAGCTCACCTGAGCTGAAAGCTCAAGTGAGCTTTTCTGATCACATTTTGTCCGGCGTCCGTCTGTCCGTCTGTCTGTCCGTCTGTCTGTCCGTCCGTCTGTCCGTCTGTCTGTCTGTAAACTTTTCACATTTTCGACTTCTTCTCAAGAACCACTGGGCCAATTTCAACCAAACTTGGCACAAAGTATCCTTGGGTAAAGGGGATACAAGTTTGTTCAAATGAAGGGCCACGCCCTCTTTCAAGGGGAGATAATAAGGAATTAGTGAAAAAATAATGGCATCATTTAAAAATCTTCTTCTCAAGAACCACAGGGCCAGGAAAGATGAAACTCATATGGAAGCATCCTCAGGTAGTGTACATTCAAGTTTGTTCAAATCATGACCCCCGGGGGTAGGGCGGGGCCACAATGGGCGATCAAAGTTTTACATAGAAATATACATGTATAGGAAAAATCTTTTAAAATCTTCTTCTCAAGAACAGCAAAGCCATGATGAGTCATATTTATATGGAAGCATCCTCAGGTAGTGTAGATTCAAATTTGTTTAAATCATGACCCCCGGGGGGTAGGGTGGGGCCACTATGGAGGATCAAAGTTTTACATAGAAATATATAGGAAAAATCTTTAAAAATCTTCTTCTCAAGAACAGCAAAGCCATGATGAGTCATATTTATATGGAAGCATCCTCAGATAGTGTAGATTCAAGTTTGTTCAAATCATGACCCCGGGGGGTAGGGTGGGGCCAAAATGGAGGATCAAAGTTTTACACAGGAATATATAGGAAAAATCTTTAAAAATCTTCCTAAGAGTCATATTTATATCGAAGCATCCTCAGATAGTGTAGATTCAAGTTTGTTCAAACCATGACCCCCGGGGGTAGGGCGGGGCCGCAATGGACTATCAAAGTTTTACATAGAAATATATAGGAAAAGTCTTCTCAGGAACAGCAAAGCCCAGATTTGTCATATTTATATGGAAGCATCCTCAGGTAGTGTAGATTCAAATTTATTCAAATCTTGACCCCCGGGGTAGGGCGGGGCCACAATGGAGGATAAAAGTTTTACATAGAAATGTATAGGAAAAATTTAAAAAATCTTCTTCTCAGGAACAGCAAAGCCCTGATTGATCATATTTATTTGGAAGCATCCTCAGGTAGTGTAGATTCTATTTTGTTCAAATCATGACTCCCGTGGATAGGGTGGGGCCACAATGGAGGATCAAAGTCTTAAATAGAAATATATAGGAAAATATCTTCTTCTGAAGAACTGCAAACCATGATTAGTCATTTTGATTCAATTTTGTTCAAATGATGACCCCCAGGGGAAGGGTGGGGCCCAATGGGGGATTGAAAGTTTTACATAAGAACATATAGAAAAAATATTTCTTCTCAAGTTCAGAAAAGCTATGTTTAGTCATATTGATACGGAAGCATCCTCAGGTAGTGTTGATTCAAGTTTGTTCAAATGATGACCCATGGGATAGGGAGGAGCCACAATGGGGGATTAAATTTTTACAAAGGAATATATGGGAAATTTTTTTTAAAACTTCTCAAGTACAACAAAGCCATTTGTTATATTGACATGGAAGCATCATCAGGTTGTTTAGAATTCATGCCCCCCCCCCCCCCCCCCAGTAATCTTTTCAATACTGAACTGATTTGTGCTTTTGCCTAGCCAATGTGCTCAGGTGAGCGATGTGGCCCATGGGCCTCTTGTTCATTTTATGGAGCTCAAATAAATTTTGAAATACAAATACATGTATTAAGAAAACATTGTAAAGTTCACATCATAAAGCTAACTGTGATGTCATTTCACCAAGTCGGAACTAAATATACCTTTACGCAGGTGAGTTAAGGCTAGGTATAGGCATTTCTATGTAAATAAACTAATTAAAATGCCTATAGACTATATCTATTTTACAGAGAAAGTTAAAACTTATTGTCTAATACATACTTGGTATCCACGACATTAGATAGCCAGTACGCATTATGACGTCATATTATGACGTCATTGTTCTTTACTACACAAGATTATAATGGATATCAACAAAAATGCTTCGGCGCAAGGGCATGCTCTATTTTATTTAACTGAAACAAGGTATATTTAGAAGCAAAATATTCTAATGTTTGCTGGTATTGCTGCACAAATATCAACAGCTCAGTTGTGTAATTCCTATTTGTAAAGTTTTAAGTTGAATCGGGGTAAAAATGTACAGTCCGGTATA